TTAATACAAAATTATAACCATTTTTTTAATTCTAATTTTTTGTAATACACTGTATATAAGAATTACAGAATATTGATTAGATAAAAATTTTAAATCTTATCCCTTAAACTGTAAGTATAAGATTGTTTCTAAAACATTTAGGCTCTTTGCAATAAAAAGGAAGAAAATTATAAAAAAAAAATTTTTTTTGCTTTATAAGCTAATTATTATTTTATTAATAAAATAAATTCAAATTTAACATTAACTCAAAAAAATTTTTTTTGGTAGTTTCCTCCCTTTCTATTACAAAGAGCCTATTTTAGAAAACTTAAAATATTTTGATATTTAATGATTATAAAAAAATAAAATAAAATCTTTAGATTTATCATATTATAATATATCTAATAATAATATTTTTATACTTTTAAAATTCATAATTATCAATATATATTAATTTTCAATTTTTAAATTTTTAAAAATAATTTATTATTTAATAATTATAAAAATATAAAATTTAGTTTATTGGATTCATCATATTAAAATCTATTAAATAATAGTATTTTTATATTTCTGAGATTAATAGATAGCAAAATATAATTTTAAAATTTTAATTTTTTTTATAATAGTTTATTATTTATTTATCTTTAAAAAATCACTATTTGGTTGTATTTTTTTTTAATTTTACTTAGAAAATATCATAAAATTTATTATAAAAGTATTAATTTTTTAATAATATATTTTATAATATTTAAAATTAATTAAAAATAATTCTAATTAATAAATAAAATTAACTATAAATTTGTAGACAAAATAGTTAAAAAGATAATACATTAATTAGTTTTAAAAAATTTATATCTACATATAACTAATTCTATTACTACTTATTTAGAAAAATATATTAAAAATTATAATATTAAAAAAAAAAAATAATTTATATACTTACTGATAATAAAGAAAATATAAAAGTAGCTATTAATATTTTGAATAAAAATAATTATAAATTCAAAGATTATCATGTGTTACATATTTTAATCATCAAAATTCAAATTTTACAAATATATAACATTTTATGGGTTTGATAGTTTTAATAAGAACTGTATCTATTTAATTTATTTCTACCACTCATCATTAAGAGGATTTATTTTACAAATTAAATTATTATCTAAGAATTAATATCTATAGTCTACTTTATTATTCTTTGTAATTATTATTTCTTATTATATTTTTTGATAAGTTTTTCTTTTTATTATTCTTTGAACTTATTTATTAATTCTATTTTTTTTTACATTCTTTTTCTTATTATTCTTTTTAGTAATTCTCTTCTTTTCTTTTATTATATTCCTTTTATTATAAATTATTAATATTTTATTTAATTAGATATTTCCTTTCTTTTGAATAATATTATTTTCTTTATTATTTTATTTTCTTTAAAAATAGTTTTAGACTTTTTATTCAATTATTTTGATTTTATTATTTCAATTAATTTTTCTATATATTTTCTTCTATTATTTTATTATTATTCTATTTCTACTAGTTTATTCTACATTCTTTAGTTTAATTTTTTTGTTTTTTATTCTAATTTAATTTTAAGTAATAAAATTAAATACTCAAATAATGTTTATATGTTAAAAAAAATATTTTTTTTAATTATAAATTCTAATTTTCTATATTAACTTTTATTTTTAACTTCTTATTTTAGTTCTAATTTCAATTTTTTTATTAATTCTTTTTTCATAATTTCTTTTTCATTTACAATTTCAAAGTTTATTATATATTCTCATATTATTATTACATATCCATGATATTATTATCTCTATTTTAGATTTTTTTAATTTTTATTAATTAACTCTTTTTTTCTTTATCTTCTTTTGTTCTATGTAATAAATCTTTCTTTTCTTTTATATTTATATGTATATTTATATTTCTTCTAGAGACCAAATTTTGAAGCTTAGCTTGATTTAAACTTAAAGCCAAAATTAGATGCTAACCTGACCTAGCTTAAGTTAAATTTATATATTAAAATGCTAGCCTATTTTAGCCAGTGTTAGCATACGACATAGTCATATGAAACTTTTTATGACTTCATAGTCATATGTCATATAGATTAACTAATTACAGCTAGAATTATAAATAAGAAATTGCCTTATTTAGTAAATGTATAATATTACACAAAGGAAAAGAAATCTTATATAATATTTTTAAAATCCCAAACTTATTATTTTAAGAATTTATGTAACAAAAGTTCTTTTATGAAAATAATTTTTATTAATAATTCCAGCCAAAATATGATGCCAGTCTAAATTAAAAAATATATGACAAAGTCATAAGTCATAGACCTATTTAAATAATAAATCACTTATGACAAGTCATGTAAGTCATATAATGTCATATGCCAATACTAGTTTTAACTCAAACTTGATATTAATGATGTAAAATTTAATAATTAATCATTTTATTTATATTTAATAAATTACAAAAATAACAATATATATATTTTTTTTACAATTTTTTAACAAATTATTATTATAATAAACAAATAAAAATATTAATGAAAGTATTATATAATATCAAAATTATAATACTAATTATAAATAATATGAAATTGATTAGTAATAATAAAATATTTTAATTTAAAATTAGCAGTGATTAAATATTAATTAAATAATGATTTTTGACAAAATTATAAATAAATCTAGGCTGATATCTTGAATCTGATCTTAGCCCATAAATTCTAAACTTATATTTACTAATTTATACCTAATTTGAAACTTAGGTCTGAGCTGGATTCTCATACTAGATCTGATCCATTGCAAGCTATTACCTTTTTCATTATTTTCATTAATATTCTTTTTTGATAATATGAATTACATAAATATTCTACAGTCTCAATTTACTAGTTTTTTCATTTAAACTTTTATATAACATTTATATATATTTATGAATTTTCTTTTTCAATTCTAAGAGTCCTTTAACTATTCTCTTTCTCTACAATTTAATTTTAATTATTTATATTTTTAAATCTTTTGATCTATTTTGTATTACATTTTAGTTATCATATCACTTTCAGTTATCATATTACTTTTTAATTATAATATTACATTTCAGTTTTTATATTATATCTCAATTAATGTATTATTATTATATACTTTAATTTTTAAATAAATTAATTTAAATTATAACAAAAATCAATAAAAATAACTTATTATTTAAATTATTAAAATTTTTTAAAATAATATTTTGATTTTAAAATTATATATAATAAATATAACTTACTAAATATTTTTTAAAATAAAATATAATTCATTTTAAATTATAGTAAAAATATAATTAAAAATAATTACCTTGATTTTCAATTATTAAAATATTTTAATACAATAGATAAATGCTAAAGATAATTTATATATTATTTAATTTATTTAAAAAGTTTAATTTTTAATTATTTTATAACAATCATACTAATCAAAATTTCAGATTATGATTAGATCTATTTTTAAATATAGATTAGATATTTCTATTATTTTTATAACTTATAGCTCTATATACTTATACTTTATGCTAACAATATACATATAAAAAAATTTTAAATGCTTATCCAATTTGATGTTACACTCTGATACTATCTAAATATTAAAAAGATACAAAAAGTAATTTTATTTTTGTATTATTCAGCATTATGTCCTAATATTATAAAATCTGTTTAAAATTATATATTTATTTTATTACTTTTAAATTTATTTATTTTTAGTATTTTGTTTTATAAAATTTAATTTTTAAATTTTATCAATCCTTTTGTATTTCATATATTTATTTAAACTTCATATGCATTAAGTTCTAAAATATCACAAATTTTAATATGATTCATTTAATGTTATACTTTCTTCACAACTTACAATTTAGCAGTTGCTAATCCAATTTTAATAAAAGTCAAACTTTTAAAAATAAATTTGAAATTTTGATAGAATTTAATGTTAAATTATAAATAAAAATAAAAATGAACCTTTTTCTTTTAAACTTTTGTTTTTTACAAAATTAATAAATTTTTTTATATTAGTATTTATAGTTTTTTAAAATATATATTAATAACTTTATTATATATTTTTTTATACAAGCATTTTAATATTTATTTAAAATCGACTCTCGATATAATGAATTTGTGTCTATCATGTGACATTTAACGAATAAAATACATCAAAAATCCCGAAGCAACCAATCAAATTCTTCAAAATTTTTCGTTGTAAGATTATAACGAACCTTGTCCGGAATGGCGACTTCGCTATATCAAGAGTTGACTGCATATTAATAATATGGGACCTTTGCAATAGAAAAAGGGAAAACGGCTGGAAAAAACAAAAATTGAGTTAATGTTAAAATCTGAACATATTTTGACTTAAAAATCATATTTGGCATATAAAAGTAAAATTGATTTTTTCCGGCTGTTTCCCCTTTTTATTGACAAAGGTCTCATATAATCCGCAGCATTCAAGTAGAGGAATTTTCAAATAATTGATACGATTGGAATAGGAGATACTTAACATTTTGGGATGGGATGTTCTTCATCAAGTAGGCCATTTATCAAAGTTAAAATTTAATTATCAAACAAGGAAAATTTTTCACATGATCCGACCGTTATCATGCATTTACCCCAAGAGTATATGCAAAATTTCACCCTCACGTGTCATGTGACATATAAGAGGGGTGAAATAAATATTTTTCACCACAAAAAAATTTCCAAGTCCCCAGTATATAGTAAAAATGGAAAATGAGGATGTGACAAATTGTGCAAGTGGGGAACCGATGGTTATCATGCATACATTGTGGTTAATATTGTATTGTATTATAATAAGAAACAATCAACAAATTTTGTTACATTATAATTTAATTTCAGGTTAGAAACAAAAAAGCGATGGCCGATCATTTATTAACTTAACTAGCTCAATGTCGATCTGTAACATTTTCTTGATTGTATATGAACATTGCATTTTTTGATCATGAAGAATTGAATCCGCAATCGCTTTTCTCCCATGGCAAGTTCAAAATTATTTCTTGGAAATTTACCAGAACTATCAGGTCATATTATCCAATATTTAAGAAATGACTTACAAACACTTCATTCTTGCGTTTTAGTTAATAGATTTTTTTGTCGAATTACAACTCCTATACTTTGGGAAGATCCTTTTTCTGTTAAATGTCGAAAAGGAAATCGTTATAATTTTCTCGATATTTATCTTTCATATTTTAATGATGACGATAAAACTAGTTTAAAAGAATTCGGAATTGAAATCCATTCATTGGTAAAACCCTTGTTTAATTACCCCAATTTTATCAAAACCTTAAATATATTTCGAGTAACATTGCACGTAAATAATTTGATAAATTCCTTTGATAATGCAACCCCTTCAACAAACGCTAAATTTACTTTTGCTTCAATGCTTGAAGAATCTTTTACGATTTATTCGAAAAATATTCATCGGGGCATCTATTCGATTTGCATTTTATTACTCAAATTATTTATAAATAGTGATGCTTCTTTAAATAATTTTTATATGAGTACTGAGGATTCATTAGGCATTGCTTTATTGGAAAAAATGCCTGAACTTTATGCAATGATCTCTGATAATGCAAAACTTATATCGAACGTTAAAAATATTAGCTTAATGCCAATGTTACAATTAAACATGACTTCTCAACTTTTTGTAATATCTTTACCGTCATTAATTTCTTCAATTAGACATCTTAGTATTTGTGATGATACGAACGTATCGTTTGTAAGAAACTTAATTCAATCACAAACACAATTGTTATCGCTTTCATTTTGCAAAGTGAAAAGGATTGATTTGCTAGATCATTTTAAGTATTGCTTTAATACTTTAACTTTAATTAAGTTTGAGCATTGTGATTTTAGAAAAGTTTTATCGTTTGATGGGCTCAGAAATCTCACAAATCTTAAATCACTTCATTTCGATAAATGTTTTGGGGTTACAACACAATTTCTTCAACCATTACTGGACATTCCCACCCCGTTAAAAATCAAATCTTTAAAAGTAATTGGTTGGTTCTCAGGACTTGATTTATTGCTTCAAAAAATTGGCTCTCATTTAAAACATTTAGAATTATATCTAATTGATGATAGCGAGAGAGATGCTTCTTTTGAAAGTATTATAAGTTTTTGTGATCAAATCAAATTTCTAGATTTATCTAACTTTGAAATACATAATATCACTCAATTATATCGGTTAATTACTCATTTTAGCAAACATCTTAGATACCTTACTATTAGAAATGAAAAGATAACTCCTATGGATAATTGCTCTCGGAAGCGTAGTAGTATAGTTAATTCAATGATTTTTAAAGGTTTGGGTCAAATATTACCAGTTTCTCTTGAATATTTTAGTTTAGATCTTGAGATTAATCCAGATGATTTTAAAGTCTTATTGGATAATTGTCAACATGTCAAATTGAAAAAATTATTAGTTAGAAACGACAATTTTGTTTTTATAGATAAAACTTTTAGCATGTTAAAAGAATTCGTGGAGATAAAAAGGGTGAAATACCTCGCATATGAACTCTCTACACTTTTTAACCCTGAACATCCGAAATATCAAAATTCGGAAAAGTTGGCAAGTCAAATTCAACCTTTTGTGAAGTTGAGGAAGTATGATGATTTAATTTTAACGATTTCAGATTTTGATTGAATAGCACCAAGAAGTTCATTCATATCATTATTTATATTCGGAATATATAAATTTTCCTTAACTAAATAAAAAACATATTATATATATTTGTATGCAATTCCAAAAGCTATATTAAGACATAGAAATGTTAAATTTTTAGCATTTCTATAGAAATTTATTATTATATTTTTTTTTTTATGATTTTGCCTAAAGTACTTGAATTTAATTAACTTTAATTTACAAATAAATTCGCCTCTAGATTTGCCTTCTGCAAAACCATTAAAGGGATAATATATTATATTACTGTATATATTGTATATTTTTTCCTTTTTGTAATTCCAATTTTCTAACATTTTTTTTTAGCTTATATTATAATTTAATTTAAATATAATTTTTAAAATATCATAATAGTTAATCAATAATATTCATAACTTATAATATTACAGCTAATTTTATATAAGACACAACAAATTTAATACAAAGGTTTTCAGATTGCTGGAAAAATAAACACATAATAATTAATCAAGATGCTGATTGGTTGCATTTTATAGACCTTATAATGATCAGTTATTTTGTATTTATTTATCTAGCAACCTGACAACCTGACAAATCTGTATATTATGAAATTAGCAGTAACAAATTATTTTAAGTTAATTAGTAATTTTCATAGATTATAATATCATAATATTTTTCAAATGAAATTTAAAAAGAAACCAACCAGAAAAATTTAAGGATTTAAAAATAAATTAAATTTATTTTATAAAAAATCTATTTTAATTTAAGCTATATAAATCAATTAATAATAAATTTCATATAAAACTATATATATATATATTTGATTTAATTAGTCTATATGTCACTCTATTAATTTAGATTTAGTGTATGATTTTAGTAGTATAGTTATGTATGCTTGGTGAATTTTTACACATTTAAAAAAAATATTTATACGTAATTTATATTTAACATTTTTTATAATTATTAGTAAAATATTTAATATATTATATTAGTGTATTATTTATCATAATTTTCACATATATTCTTATCATATAATATGTATTTTTTACATATGTTTAGGTTTGAAAATCATATACTATTCAGATCTTTATTTTTAATTATGATAATAATATGTGAGATTACACGTTAAACTAGCAGAAACTAATGAATCTATTAAAATTGATATAACTGTAAAATAAAGCATATTTATTATTCATATTATTTTTTTCTTAATTAATATTATTAATATATTTGTTAATAATGTTATTATTATTAATAGTGTCATAATTATAATTATTATCATTAATCTTCTTAATTGTAATTTTCTTATATAAACAGTATGAAAATGCCTTAAAAAAAGAATAGATTCTAATATTATATTCAATATATATTTTCAATAATAATAATAAATAATAATAATATTTTATAAATATAAAATATCTAACTTTTATTCTTATTAACTAAATAAACTTTCTAATTAATATTATATTAAGTTAGTTAAACTTAAGTTATAGCTATTGTTACTTTAATTTTAAATTATAACTTATTTAATAGATAAAGTAATGTTAATAATGTGTATTAAAAAATAATTTATCATATTTTATGCTATATTTTCAAATATAATTAGTTTATTTAAAACTTTAATTATGATATTTTAATATATATACAAAAATTATAATATATGTTACTTTTGTCTACTAAAATTTCTTAAGAAATAATATATTTTTCTAAATCAAATCTAGATAGTTTCTAAAATATGTACTTTTATTTAATTTCATTATAAAATATATATAAGTTGTAAATAGTATGTGATAATAAAGTATCTTCATTATATTTTATAATATTTAACAGAAAAATGATATTTAATAATACTTTTATTTAAAAGACTAATTCTTAAATATGCTATAATAATATTAAAAGTATTTAAACTTATTTGAAACTGTCAAAAAATATTCAATTACTTATCTATAAATATATAGTATATATTTAAAGAAGCAATCCAACTTTTTATTATAGATCTCTATAATAAAGAATTATATTTTCATATTGTTTTTTGAATTTCTATTATTAAATTATATTAAATTTTATTTTGTATAAAAAATGCTAGAAAAATTATATCATTTTTATTAAACTAACAATTTAAATTTTTGCTTTTGTTTAAATATTTTTGATATTCTTATATGATTTACTTTCATAATTTTTATAAATAAAAGTTTAGTTGATATTTTTTATTTTTATTAAATAATAAATAAGAAAACTTAAAAAATTTTATATTATCTTAAAAGTTAAAAATAATAAAATTTTATTTAAATTATTGAATTATACTTTATATAATATTATAGAACTACTTTAAATTTTTTTAAATATTATCATAACTATTAATTACTTTTTGATAATTCAAATACTTATTGATCTTTCACTTTAAAGATTCTTTTTCAAAATATTAGTTTTCATATATTATTTTTATTTAGAAAAATAACTTTTAAAATAAAATTAAAAAATAAAAATATAATATATAAATAAAATATATCATTTTAATATTTTTTATTTATTTATATTTTAAAAATTAATTAATAGGAAATTATGTAATCATTAAATAAAAAATTTATAAAGTATTACAAAATCAAAATATTCAAATCTAATACTATAAATAAATTAAAATATAGTATAGCAAATAATTGGCTTTTAAATATAAATTCTATTAATTATAATATTAGAAATAAAATAATTTAAATGAATATAAAAAAATTAAATTAAATTAAATTAATAAAATAATAAAATAATTTAAAATCATAATTAATAAGAAATAATTAAGAAATTATATAATGATCATTTAGTCTAATATTTATGTATATTCTAATTATCTAAAGTATTATAAATATTTTAACATTTATTTTTATTATTATTGGTTAAATCTCACTTAAAATTGCTAAATAAATCTAGAAGTTTTACAAATTATCTAAATGTTAAAAGATAAAATTTAGTAAAATTATATTAAAAAATCTGTAAAATTCTAAAAAAAGTAAAATTATATCAAAGCTTATAAAAATGCAAAACTATATTAAAACCTTAATAAAAATTAGCAAAATTAAAGTTTAGATATTTTATTAAATTTAAAATAAGTTTAAATAAGAAAACTTAGTCATATAATTTATTATCATTAGTAATAAAAGCTTTAACTTTGAAAATAAGCTAAAATATTATTATATTTTAAAATATAATCAAAATGATAATCATAAGAAATAGTTTTAATTTTTTTCTAATATGTTTATTATTCTAATTCTAAGATCCTCTTCTATTTGTTTTGATAATTACAATGTAGTAAAAGTATCAGAATAATACTTATTCTATATCTATATATTGTAACTATCTATTTATTATTTTCATTAACCAATATAGATTAAGTTATTAAAGTAGATAATTATTAAATGTATTATATGATTATTTAAAAGTATATCTTAAATAATTAGCATTAAAATTAGTAAACTAAAGATAATAATAAAAAAATGAAAGATTTCATAATGAATAAAACTTTTTTTAATAATTATAAAGTGAGTATTTCTATATATTTATTTATTAAAAATTTTGAGATAACTAATTCTGCTTAAAATAATTTTATCAATACTAAAATAATTAATTAAATAATAAATATATTAATAATTAAGTATAATAAAACAAATTTCATTATTTGCAATAAAAAAAAACAGTTAGAAAAAAATATATAAATTAATTAATATTAAATTTAAAATATATTTTAATCTAAAAATAATTTATGATATATAAAATTAAAAATTAATTATTTCTAGTAGAATTATTAGTATATTTAAAGTAAAAATTTGAGATTTTCTTTTGAAAGAGAATATTCAATATTAATATATTATATAATTTATATTATATAATTATTGATATCAGGTAATTTTGCTTTATATAGTATAGCTATAGCTATTCTTAAAAAGAAAAATATAGATATAATTTGATTAGTTTTACAGTCAACTCTTGATATAGCGAACTCTTAATATAATGAATTTTTTGAACAAATATAATAAAAATACTCTTGTTATAGCAAATTGGCCAATCAAATCTCTTAAAATCTTCATTATAGCCTTATAGTAAAGTTGAGATTTAAGATATAGAGTTCGTTATAATAAGAGTTGACTGTATATAAAAACTATATGAATATTTTTATAAATCAATAATTAAATATATATGATTTTAAAAAAATAGTGATAAAAAAAATATGATAAAAAATTATGTAGTTATATGAAAAAATTAAAATTTATTTGTAATTTCTAATATATAAAAAAAAATACAAAAAATAATTCATTAAACTAATTTAATTTAATTTATCAATTTAATTTGTAATATAAATAATATTTATTAATTTGATTAAATTTAACTTTAAAAATTATTTATAATAATATTTCATTTATTCTATTTGAGAAATTAATCTTTATTCACAATCTAGAAGGTGAAAGTAAATTAATTTGATTTGATTAAAAATTATTTTTATAATTTATTACTAATTTTCAAATATCAATAAAATCAAAATTTTATTATATATCTATATTATAATGATAAAAAAATCTATTTATTTAATAATTTTATCTGTTTTTAAGTAAAAGAATAAACTGATTTAGCCTAAAAAATATCTTATTAATTAATAGGTAAAAATAATAACAAAAAAAAATACATAATAAAAATTTTAACTACCTGTATTTTCTATAATTATGAACTAAATCATTTAATTTGATTATATTATTTTATTCTTGATTAAATAAAGAAATTAAATTGACATAAAAAAATTAAAAATAAAAAAAAGAAATTAATATTTAATGATAAAATGAATAATAAATAAATAATCAAATTTTAACTGCATTTATTACAATAATAATTTTATTTAAAAATCTGTAAAAAAAAAATTAATTTAATCTAAAAAACTAAAAAAAACAAAATATTAATAATCTTCAAAAAGTTAACTTTTTTTATTACTATTCTTAGCTACATTGATAAATCAACTCTGATTAAAA